TTTTGTCTTTGTAAAGATGTAGTAGTAGTAGTAGATGTAGTCTACACTAAGATGAGTAACTTGAGCTAGAAAACTAACTGTCTAGTATTTCCATAGTCAAGTTGTTAATGATTTTGAAACTAATGTTATTTTCTATCATAAAAATTGATTGTTTTATTAGATTTTCCAAGGTCATAGTTATACTATTTAAACAATGATTCTGATTTTTTTCACATGGTTATCTTTTTTAGTAAGAAATTAAATTTCTCTCATTAAAATAAGTTTTATTATTACATTTCGATATGAATTAACCATCCAGTCAATTTAATCGTTTCTCAAATTATTATTATTAGATAGTTTCTTTTGAATTAAAAAATTGTACAATACTCATTTGAAATCAAAATATCACATTTTAATTAGCTCCAACAATGTAAGATGATCAGTCAGTCAGCCAATCACAATATAGAACCTTGTACGTACGTATATCAATTCAAGTTGCCGTATCACGTTAGCACATAGACGTAATTGTCACTTTGAATCCCATATTAGTAGAGGTAGTAGAAGTATTAATAGTAATCGGAGAGATTAGGGTTCAATGATATTATTCAAGAAGTAAAATCTAGCGAAATAAACTTAAACAGAAAAAGATAATGGGGAGGAATATTCCAGAGGATTAGGATTTGAAAGAACATGAAGAATGAATGCACCTGCGCCATAGCAAACGATTTTAAGGTATGTTATTCAAGGTCTCTAACCTTCGGTGACTATCGTCTTGCGGACCCTAACCAGGTAGTCGACATCTACCAACATGACTCAGTCCACTTGTTAGTGAATTCATGTATTTGAGCCATGTTTTGATCTGGCCACCCCTAGCTTTCCTAAAGCCTACTCCTACACTACAAAACATCACTCGTCGAGGCAGTCGGTGGTTTGCATACGTAACACATATCCCAACCACCTCAACTGACGAAGTTTCACTACTTCATCTACTGACCTGCCATCCCTAACTATTACTCGTTTCCTAACGACTGCATTGCTTACTAGGCTGCTCCAGGATATACGAGCAACGCTCTCAAGACATCTATAATTGAATACTAATAACCTACGAATATATTCTACTCTGACTATCCATGTTTTGCAGCCATATTGTAGAACGGAGCGAACTACTGCGCAGTAAACTCGTCTTTCGGTTAGCAAACGGATATCTTGTCTACAAATGTAAGATGATAAACAGTTATTGATGGGTATATCATGCATGGCCTAGATTTCTTGTGATATGTAATCCTTGTCAGTAAAGATATACCTTCAATACTTTAAGAATCAAAGCTTCGCATAAGATTCAAACTACTGTTATTCATTGTCAAAGTCGATAATTAAAACATGGAGTACAGATGTAATCGAGTGATAGCAGCTATATGGCAATTGGACTGATAACATTTGATCAACATTGAAGGAAATTAGTTAAGTATGACTGTATTTGTTTTTTACAACTCACTGATCGATTATCATAAGTACGTATCTTAACAGAAGTCAAATTTAGGTTAACTGAAAAAAACAATTCTTATACAGAGCGGTGTCAGTAACTTACCGTCAGAATACTCATCAAATATCCTAAAAGAATTATTACGTAAGTCTAATTCTATCGGTCAATTCCTATTGGTTAATTCCCATTGGTCGTCCTAACTATCAATGTCACATAGACGCACAGACAGATACAACGCAGAACTTTGTATGTAAGTACATCAGTTCAGGTTGCCATACCACGTCAGCACAGAGACGTAACTGTCAGTTCAAAACCAAGAGTGATAGCAATAATAGAAATATAAGCAGTAATGGAGAAGATTAGAGAGCAAAGATATGATTCGAGAAGTATAATTCAGTGAAATAAATTTAGAATGAGAGAGGTAGAGATTATGAGGAATTCAGAAGTTTAGAACTAGAGAGAACACAAAGAGTGAATGTACCTGCACCACTGCAAACGATTATGAGCCATGTCGTTTAAGGTCTCTAACCATCGATTACTATCGTCTCGCGGACCCCAACCAGGTACCTTACATCTACCAACATGACTCAGTCCACTTGTCAGTGACTTCATGGATTTGTGCCATGTTTCGGTCTGGCCGCCCCTAGTTTTCTTCCAATTTATTCCTACACTACAAAACATAGCTTGTCGAGGCAGTCGGTGGTTAGGCATACGTAACACATGTCCCAACCAACTCAACTGATGAAGTTCCAACACTTCATCTATTGGTTTGCCATCCTTACCTAGAACTCGTTTCCTAACGATAGCATTGCTTATACGGTTGTCCCAGGATACACGAGCAATGCTTCGGAGACATCGATGATCGAAGACTAGTAACCTACCAATGTCCTCTACCCTTAACGGCCATGTTTCGCATCCGTATAATAGAACAGAGCGAACTGCTGCGCAGTACACTCATCCTTTGGTTAACAAGCGGATATCTCGCCTGCGCCGTAAGTGACGCAGGTTAGCAAAAGCCAGTTGAGCCTTATCAATGTCACATACTTCAAATATTGTTTCCTATTCGACCTAACTGTATAAATATGCATTGTCTGTAACGTTTTATCATCCGGATCCTTAGTCCAGGATCCTTATTCTCTTCTGGATTCGGACCTCCTATTTTCTGGGTTATTGTAGAATACATTGTCTGCCTCATGTCAAGACTTCTTCTTCTACTTCGAGAATTAGAGTGGCCTATCGTGTCACCGGATCAACGATCCTCGCTCGTTCTCGTTTACCAACTAAGATGAACTCGTAATACCTCAACAATATCAATTGACGTTGTTTTGACATGTATTCATAACACTTACTCAATTTGACATGGTTCTTCATTAATTTGTCTTGGTGTATTATTCTCAACTTTTCCAATTAAATCATTAATAAAAACATTATCATCCATATTGTATTGATCATTATCTGTTGTTAGTGTTTTTGACAATAATGATTCATAATTTAAATTTTTATGAATAATTGGTGAAGCATAAGTTGATGACTGACATGATTCACTGTCATTTTGTGAACAAGCACTTGATTTTGATTCATGATTACGATGCGATGAAATGGTTCTTCCTTTAGAATGAGTATTTTTTCGTGATGAAGCACTGGCTTCTCTTGGTTCAGTTCGACTACGACGTGTTTTTTTAGTGGAACCATCTTTGATGCGATCATCTGAAGAAAAAAAAGAACAAACGATGTAAAAATGATATATGTTAGGATATTCCTCCAAAATCCTAAGAGAATTATTGGTCAATTCCTATTGGTTCATTCCTACTGGTCAATTTTACGGTCGTCCTAGATATCAATGTCACATACTCCAATGTTGTTTCTTATTGGTTGTCCTAACTATCAATGTCAATTCAAATGTTACCTCCTATCGGTCGTCTTAACTGTTAATGTCACAGACTTTGAGGCTGTTTCCTATTCGACCAAAATGTATAAATACTCATGATCTGTAACGTTTTATGACCATGACCAGGACCCGGTCCCGGATCCCTAGTCCGGGATCCAGTTTCTCTTCTGGATTCGGACCTCATACTTTCTGGATGCTTGTAGAATACAGATTCTACTTCATATCATGTCTTCTTATTTTCACTGAATATGGGGGTTGGGATAATCGGATTTAAGTAGCATGTCGTGTCACCGGATTCTCGCTCTCGTTTTCCGGCTAGGTAAACTCGTAATAGTTCAAGTATATCAAGTTGACGTGTTTACGTGCAGGCATAACAATATATTTAAATTTTCTAACTTGACTGTTAAAACAAAGTTCAAAAAATACCAGAAGAATTCATGTCATAGACATACCAAGAATATAAACAATGAAAATGACACAAATCGTTAAATATGTTATATATCTGTTTAAAGTTCGGTACTCATCAGTTTTGCTCATCTATGACCATAGAAAGATTTAGTGTTTACAATCTAGAAATATGATACCTATTGCGCTAAATCAAAAGTTTCAGAGGTTCAGTCTATAGAAGGATTGTGAGGGTACACATCAGAGTATAGCGGCGCTAAAACTAGAGCGAAATACAATGTTTCTAGAATATGATGAGATAAATATTATGATCATGAATTAGGTGATTTCAGCAAAACTAATTTTATACCATACATCAATGACTTTAGTAAGTCAATCAGTTACAACATAGACCTTTGTACGTACGTACATCAGTTCAAGTTGCTATATCACATAAGCACAAAGACGCGATTGTCCCATAGTAGTAGATGTAGTAGAAGTATTAGCGTTGATGGACAAGATTAAGGTTCGAAGATATAATTCAAGAAGTATATCACAGTGAGGTAAATTTAAAAAGAGAAAAAGTGATCATGAGAAATTCAGATTAGAATTCGAGAGAAGGCAAAGAATGGATCCATCTGCGCGATTCCTAACGATCTTGAGTCATATCATTCAAAGTCTCTAACCATTGGTTACTATGATCTAGCGGACCCCAACCAGGTAGTCTAAACCTAGTAACAAGGCTTAGTCCAGTTGTCGGTGACTTCATGAACTGGTGCCATGTTTTGGTTTAGCCGCCCCTAGCTTTCTTCCAACCAACCCATACATCACAAAACAGAGCTGATCAAGGCAGTCAGTGGTTGGGACATATGTTACATGTATTACAACAACAGACTTTCTAGAGGAGCAATGTTTTGTAATGTTACAATACTTCATCATTTGGTCTGCCATCCTTACCTAGTACGTTTTTATTAAAAACAGAATCGCTTACTAGATCGTCCCAGAATATACGAGCAATGCTACGAAGACAGGTATGATCAAATACTAGTAACCTAAGAGTATCCTCTATTCTTACTGTTCATGTATCACACTTGTAAAATACGACGGAACGAACTGCTGCACAGTAAACTCGTCTTTTGTTTAACAGACGGATATCTTGCATACACCATATGTGATGAAAGTTGGCGGAAGCCAGTCGTGCATCGATAAAGTCACTAAACAATGCCTACATAATTTATAAACCTCAATAACATTAATCATTGGGTTATTTAATTCATGAAAATAATTATAGAATATGAACTTTTGTACTTGTCATTTTAGTATAAATAAGATAACTGAAAAGACCTATTCAAACAAATTGATCAGTATGTGATAGAACTAATCTTGGAATGAATAAAAAAAATTCTTATAAAGCACATAAATGAAATGGCACTTACCAAATGGTTTAGGATTAGGAGACTTTGAATTCGTTGGTGACCTATGAATAAAACAATTTTGGAAAATAAAGCTTATATATATATATATATATATATATATACAACTTATTAACAAAGAACAGATCAGTGATTATTTCCAATTACTGATGTGGAATCATCATCAATGAACTTTCAGTGGCTATTGACTTAGAATATGCCGATGACATTGTCCTACTTGGTGAAGATGCTGACAAAATGCAGAGTCTTCTCACCACCCTAAGCAACAATGCAAGCATGTTCGGGATGCGGTTTTCCACCCCGAAATGCAAAATGTTGCTTCAAGATTGGGTTGCATCGGCACCTGAACTAGTGATAGGGAGTGAAGTAGTCGAGCGTGTAGACCGTTTCACTTATCTTGGGAGTTTCATTAGTGCTGATAGCCTGGTGACTGACGAAATCTCAGCACCGATACAGAAGGCTCGATTGGCTAAAGGACGAGTGTACTGTGCAGCAGTTCGCTCCGTCCTACTATATGGCTAGGAAACACAAACAGTCAGAGTAGAAGATATTCGTAGGTTACTAGTCTTCGATCATATGTGTCTTCGAAGCATTGCTCGTATATCCTGGGACAAACGAGTAAGCCATGCAGTCGTTAGGATGCGAGAACTAGGTAAGGATGGCAGATCAATAGATGAAGTAGTGAAACTTCATCAGTTGAGGTGGTTGGGACAGGTGTTGCGCATGCCTAACCACCGACTGCCTCGACGAGCTTTAGTTTGTAGTGTAGGAATAGGTTGGAAGAAAGTTAGGGGCGGCCAGACCAAAACATGGCAGAAATCCATGAAGTCATTGACGAGTGAACTTAGCCATGTCGATAATTGTCGACTACCTGTTTGGGGTCCGCGAGATGATAATAATCGATGGTTAGAGACGCTGAATGACATGGCTCAAAAGCGTTAGCAGTGACGCCGGTGCATTTATTCTTTGTGTTCTCTCAAATCCTAATCTTCTGGATTCTTCAACAACTGTAGTTTTTTCTTTCTAAACTTTTCTCATTTAATCATACTTCTTGAATAATATCTTCTAATCCTAACCTCTCCGACTACTTCTAATTCCCTTACTACCCCTTCTTCTATTGGATTTGAATTGACAATGACATCCCTGTGCTAATGTTGTATGGCAACATGGACTGATGTACTTACGTACGAAGTTCTACGTTGCATCTGACTGACTGATTCACTGAGTGGCTACGCAAAATTCGAAGCAGGATTAATCACTTTTTAGTGGCCGGACGATCTGACTCCATTTCCGTCGAGCAATAGAATATGCTATGAAATAAATCTTCTCTTAGACGAAACCGGTTTTTAAAATGGTGGTAATAAGAAACCAAATACGGCTTGGTGGATGCACTTATTTCATACATTCATTTAAGTAGACAGACATGAGAACGAAAAGCGTACAAGCAAATTAAAGCAAAGGGGAATGGAGAAGGCAAACAACGAGGCCATTTCTAAGTAGTTATATTCGGATAACAATGTGAGATAATGGAAGTAAGCATCAACACACACAGACAACCAACATTCCATTTAGAGTTATGGAGATATTTGTTTACTACTGATCATAGTTAGACTACCATTATAAACTTGGAAGCCCTGGACGGTCGTTTCCTCCTAGTATGGTATACACCCTGTCAGGTGTAGGCAGTAACTACCGTACACAAATGGGTAGGGTTGCGCAAAATCCGTTGAATGCCGGCCAGCTCAGTGGTCCAAAGGTTAAGCGTTCGCGCTCAAGATTGAAGGCCCTGGGTTCGAATCCGGCTTGTTGGAATCGTGGATGCTCACTGCTCAAGAGTTCCATACTAGGACTTGACGGCTGACCAGTGCTTCCAGTTTTCTAATGGTGGTCTTACAATGGTTGATTCATGATCCCAGTAGTAAACAATCAAAAGTTACGAAAGAAGCATGAATAATGACTCAAGCAGAAAGGGTTAATTAGTTTGTTCGAAAGTTAGGACAAAATCTGTGGGTTGAACATACTAGTACATACACTACAAACTATTTATCTGGATGGCAAATTGTTTAGTCCATATGTAGTGTAGGAGAACACAAGTGAGGGCAACCGAATTGTATTTAACGAAAATTACAGAGTTACTCAGTAAAATAGGAAAACCATATCGTAAACAGTTAATTTGCAAATCTTCAATCCATCATCAATCCATTGTCTGACATTTATTTCACTATTCATGCGTTTCATACAAATTCCATTGTGTTCCCACTCTTCTTACTTTCTTGATCTTCCCCCATCTTCTGCTGCCAGACATTACGTTTACACTCGCGTCATGCACTACTTATAAGTAGCGCGCACCACACATATACGATAAGAAGCCCAATTGGTAA